CTACATAGTTGTGACTTGGTTGAGTTTTCCACCGCCAAATGTTCATAAGGCAAATACAAATATTGCAGAACACACAAATGACGTCAGACGAATTTAAATACGCAATTAAAACCCGACGCAGCTGCTTCAACTCGCGATGGGCTTACATTTTGGGGATTTGGGGCTCCATATTCCTGGAACACCATCGTCAAACCAAAGTTTTGAGGTGTTAGGTCTAGGGCTATTTTTTGTCGAGAGATTGCCATTGTCTTGAATTGGCCTCCATAATATTTGCGTCGATCTCTACCGAGAGTAGCAAAAGTCTTCTTACAGCTAATTACGTTGGACACATAAGTCATCTATAGCGTAGCTTCTCCAGCGTGTACATGGGGATCCCTCCAAAAAACACGGAAACTCCAAAACACGAACGAATGTGAGGCCAAAACTTGGCTTGGTAACGTGTGCTTGTTCTCAGATCACTCAAGTAAAACAAATTCCTTTAGACGAAACACAACCCATTGAACTGAATTAAAGAACCTGTACAGGACAGGCGTGAATCTGCAGAATAAATGTTATCATTAAAGCTCATGATAGTGATCTGCATACTGGATAATGAGCCCACTTCCCACATACATCTTGCTTCCACTCTAGATCTTATTGTTAGTGCTAAGAAACACAACCATTGCGTAGCCATTCCTGGGCGGGTACGCTGGGCGTGATCTTTCTGGCGCTCCATACTTACGAACACACCGTGTCAGATTCTCTAGATCTGTGGCACGAAGTAAAAGAAGCGCTGCTTTTCAAATTCTTCATAGTGGTGCACGCATCACGTACATTGATACCCTATCATGAAGGCACTTGGACTTGACGCGTCCTAAGCATTCAGAAAGCAATGCTGTCCCACTCCCAGTGACTGCTCAGCCGCTCATCCCTGTCTGTCGACCTCCTAGCCCCTTGAGCAGAGAGCAGAGCCTATCAGCTCAAGATGATGACATCAATCATCGCTCACTCTAGACCAGCCGGAATCGACCGGCAGAGAAAGGACCTCAAGATGTGTGACCGTTTGCTTCACCATTGTACCATCAGTTTTTCCCACAGACTAACAATTTATCGGGTACCCGACAGGAGGCCCGTCGCGCGGCAAGAAGGCAGAGTCAGCGGACGAGTCGCAGCGTGCTGTGCGATGTAGGACGTACAATGGTACATTCTATTCAACTTGACGCGAAATCACTACAGTACGCGCGCGACTCGTCCGCTGACTCTGCCTTCCTTGCCGCGCGACGCGACGGCGCTCTTTTCAGGCACCCCAGTTCTAACACCTGTCTATAAAGATGTCCACGTTCCTCCAGGGATGACCCTTGAACAATTGAATAAATAAGGACACATTGAACAATTACACTTCTCACGTGATGTGCACTGCATGATTTTTTTCTGACATTTTGGAGTCAGTCAGTTGCCCTGGAATGTAGACAACCACATCAGTATATGTATTATTGCTGTATGTTCAGAAAACACTACGAACAGAAAATACCACTACCAGATGAGGCACTACTAGTGAAACCCATACCAAAACAACCTTGGGAGTTAACAAAGGATAAAATTACATTAACTTCAAAACTTGGAGAAGGCGCATTCGGAGAAGTTTTGGCAGAGGACACGGCGAAATCAGCCAACTCAAAACAATACCTGGCTGCAATCAAAGTGTGTGAGCATTCAGCTCTTTTCAAATTTATGATGTCCTACTGCTTCCGAAACCGGCAATGGGGGGGGAGAGTGCAGACCACAGCATCACGAGTAAAGGCCTCCATGTCGGCCTTGATTTCACTACTAGTTTATAGATACACAGGTAAGGCCGCGTTCATAGTTCGCGACTCGGGAGATTAGGATAGTAGGCGACAGGATATTAGGATAGTAGTAGAGTAGGAGATTGCGCTGACAAGATTGGATACGTATCGATTGAAATCGCTGGAGAGTAGTAGATTGGGCGACTTCAAGCGAATAGATCAATACATATCTAATCTTGTCAGCGCACTATCCTAATCTACTACTATCCTAATCTCCTACTCTACTACTATCTGCTATCGTAATATCGCAATCTACTACTCTCCGGCGATTTCAATCGATACGTATCTAATCTTGTCAGCGCAATCTCCTACTCTACTACTATCCTAATCTCTACTATCACTATTTCTCCCGTCATCAATATATATGTTTTTCACTTGTTGCGTACTATCCTAATCTCCGCGAGTCCCCGAATTTGCAACGACCCTAGAGAAAGGTGAGAAATGGTACCACAGGCAAGTATCACAACGTATGCAATCAAGCATGGAACCATGTACACTGTTGGCGTGGTCCGCCCTTTCATACCCCGAGCTTGAGTAGGCCACTGCGCCCACGGTCCATTTAACATGAGGTATAGGTATTGTGTGTATAAACCCCATTGAATGCACTGATATCGTCGATTCCTACACTGATACCTCATGATAATATTACGCTCCACTGGTTAAGGTATACTAACTTTGCCTTTCACAGAGAAATAAATTTGGAAAGACACTGAAGAGTCCAAATCAATGTACATGTATTTAACAGGCTAATAATGTTACATCAATAATGCGCAGTTTTCCAGACAAAGCTTAAGGAAGATAACAAGAAGTATATGCAGGAGCTATTCAAAGAGGCCAGGCTAATGCGGCAGTATCAGCACATGTAAAGCTTTGCTTCGATAGGTAAATGATAGGCGACCGCAGTAGCAAGGATCATTTTCAGAAATGTGGTCGGATTTTTCGGAATGGTAATGGAAAACGAAAACGTGATGATTGTGATGGAAATGGTGAACGGAGGCGGCCTTGATCATTACTTAAAAAAGAACACCGTAAGCGATGACACACGTACTGTACTTTCGAAAGGGACAGAGAAGTACCGTAACACAGATGTCATTTAGGTCAGCATTCCAGACAAATGCTCCTACGCATTTGATGTCGCGCTTGGTCTTTATTACCTACACAGTAAACGATGCATGCACAGGTATGTTTCGTTTGCTCCTTCGAGGAAGAATTCTCTTCTTCTATCGACACGAGCGCTTTCCTTTCTAAACTTTTTATTACTTTCCTGATTTGATTATTTGACACATACACCATCATATTATCAAACGTTTTGGTAACGCACGGGGACCTGATCATCTTTTGTTGAATACACTAAACTCTGAAGATCTAAAAGTAAGATGTCTTTGCAAAATCATGCAGGTCACTTGCTCGCCTATCTCCCCCTCTTCTCTTCGAGAATGAGGGGCGGACAGGGGAGTAAGAGGGGGACCGTCCTTGGTAGGGTAAGGGTTAAATACTAGAGAATGTGGAAACCTGACAGTCCATGAGCCTCAAAATCAATGGAATATTGCCTCTCCATACTGTGGTTCGGTGGCATCATAAAGAAGTGCGTAGACTCTTTCTCACTTAGCTTCTCCAGTTGTAACTTCTGAAACCAGGCTTTTGACAGTTGATTACTGTAATTCCGTGTAACACGTGTAGGAGGT